AAAATGTCCTCGAGGTGTGGAATGCGTCACCTACGCACTCTTCTGGAACACAAAGTTTGAGAGGCCAGGGACCACAGTCATAATGTAAATCAACAAATAGATTTCACACCTCTGAAAGAAAAAATTTCTCTCTTTGTGTCTGAATTTCTAAGGTACATGGAAGTGTGTGCTACATGAAATATGAGGCTTCGTATTCCTAGTTTTCTTTTCCATGTGACACCATATCGGTAAGGAAGCAGAATGCCAAATAGTAATAATTAGCTCCTGTTGTATTCAAAGGAAAAATTGCAGTGTGAAAGCCTCATTGATATTTTCTCATTAGCAGCTCCCTGGTTCCTTCAGTTACTTTTCCAGATGTAACGTATCGTGCCGTTTGGAGGAGGCGTTGGGTATCAGTAACCATAGGTTTAACTATGAAAGGCGTGGGAACCAATGTGCTTGGCTGCAGCGGTCATCTCCCAGCAGATGGTGCCATTGTGAAATGCAATTTACTTTGAGATGCACAGACTTTCTTCTTTAATGTTCTTTGTAAATATTCAAATCCAGGGATAAAACTATTCTATTATTCTTCTCGATGGAAGTATAAAGAGGCATTTTTAAAACAAAGACAAATGATGCAACTGTCTCATGTTCAAGAGAAGACAATATATCCTGAAAATATACGTAGAACAAACTCAGTTTGGTCCAAGTTCCCCAGGGATTTGTCTAGACTTGTGCAAACAGCTTTGTTTGGTATACTTCTGTTATCCATGAGTATACTGAAACAGGAAGTGGTAGTTGGGCCAAATCGTTCACAGTTGCAAGGAGCCAAAAGGATTAAACGTTTATACACATCAGGGATTGGAGGATTAGAAATCAGAGCTGCTTTGCTAGTCTTGATATTGTTACCGGAAAGCTTGTGTTGACTTCAGTATAGATGGACACAGATCTCTGAATTTTTATAGGTTTTAAAATAAGATTTAGAAAATCCCAAACATTTGTAGATACACTACTATAGCAATTAACTGGTTTTTAAAATCAGTGAACTTATCCAAGAAATGATGTGGAGCCTCCATTATCAGGGACAAGTTTTGATGACCCCAGTATGTTGTGTTAAGGAAAATGTTTTGTCAGTAAATCAGCGAGATAGAACTGGAAGGCAACAAGTGTAGACACTTCATCTTTTCTGAAGAAAGTGAAACTCCCATCAGGAACTGGGCATTCATGACGTTTAGGGGCCCCAGAAGATTTGCTGAAAACAGCCTGTGCTCTGTGAGGAAGCAAAATGTCAGTCCTAAAGATCGGCACTGCGGTGTGCTCTTTACTGTCATGCCAGCCAGCTGGAGAGCAAATGAAAACAAACAGCTGAAATGTGGTGTGAACTCCTAGCTTCCTTTCCTTTCCGAAGGGACTGGCTGAAAACATTGTGTTTGCAGAGGGAAAAATTGAAGATCTTATTCAGCATTTTGCCCTTCGTTAGGAAAATAGGCTTTGCCTCTGATTTTAGGCAAAGCTCTGGCCAAGCTCTGGTCAAATGACAGAGCTGGTGTTTTTTAGGAAATGGCATGTGCAAGCAGGTAGCAGGGAACTCAGCCAGCAGAGACAGGGATCATGAATTCCCAGACTGTGATGCTTAAGGGTACGATTCACTGAGCGGTAGATTGAAAGTAATGATTCCCATAGGTTAAAAAGGGCATTGTGTCAGATTGTGGTGACTCTTGTGTCTGCTTCAGAAGGTGTGGCATTTTTGAGGTCAATTCTACCTTTCCCACAAATATAATAGGGACTCTATAGAGTCCTTTATATGATGTGTGTTAGAATAACTTTTTTATGCTTATGTACTTCAGAAAAATGTATCTTGAGAGATTTCAATAAGAAGCTGTATTACTGCATAGGTACTTTTACATTTAAATTCTTTAAACCAATCAGATTTCTAGTTTAACAATGGCAGATGGTCTCAAGCCATTCATTTGCATTTGAAATTATTTTCTCTCAAGTTTAATGATATTTTGGCTTAAATTCCTGCAGCTGAATTTACTACTTCGATTTTGGTCAGTACCGGTGGATTTTCCTCTCCAGGGCAATGTTGAGGGCTTATCAAGAATATGTCAGTCTAATAGGCCTGTGAGATCTTATGGAACATCCTTCACTTGGGAGGGACATCATCCCACAACAGCTTCGGGTTTTGGCACCATTAAACCTCACTCATGCTCTAGTTCATCCTAAAAGCTGGCCTTTTCACACCAGTCTGAAAGTAGCCTGGTTTTCAACTCAACATTATTGGCTCACTCTGAAGGATTGGTCCACACTCACTTTCTCCTTCACTTTCTGGGGTTAAGAGGAGAGCCTGTGTCCCGCCACCGTGGGAAAGACTGGTGTGGTTTTGCTGACCTTTGTCCTGCTCAATTCTTTTATGTGGGAAATCTCCTTCCTTCCTTTTTTTCCTTATCAATAGCAAAAGTTGATCTACCTTTGTTCTCCACCTGCCATGTATCCTCCTCCTCTTTTCCTTTACCTGGCTCTGGAGACCATTGTTGGCAACCAGCCAAACCATCAGTCTTTTGTCGGTGGTGTATTTCAAACAGACTGGATTAAGCAGAACAAACACTTGCTAGCTAACCAGCTTACTTTTCAGTCGCTAATTGCCATGACTATTGTGCCATTCTGTACTCCCTCTCTGCAGAACAGCTAGATAGATGTGTGTTCATATTGCAGATTAACAGATATTTATTGTTAAACAGTGTTTCCCTCCTGTTTCCTTTTGTAAAATGCCATGCTTATGTGTGTAACACAAGTGTTAAAATACACTTACAACTTTAAAATGTTGGTTTTTATGAAAAACTACAGTTTTCATTGACCCCTGGCAAAACAAAAAAAACCGGGTTCATATAAACAATGAAGCTTATGAGAACTCTGTCTCATTTACAGACTGCTGTGAATGTGTTTAGTATTGTTTTAAGCAGTCTTTTAACAAGCCTGGAAAATGTCACTGGGAGTAAAGGAAAGCATTGACTGTCTGCAAAGGAAAGAAACTAAGGAATTAGGAGTTGAACATTCGATTTTCAAGAATAACTAAATCACTAATTAGGGAGGTTTGGGACACAACTTGAGAAATACTTTATGAAGGGCATGATTTCAACTTATTTTATCAAGCCTATAGACTGAGTCAGTGTTAGGGCTCAAGTGGAACGACATAAATCTGACTTAAAGTGGACTGATAAACTGAGAAAGGAACATGCTGAACAAATGCAAGGTACTGAACGTTGAATTCCTGAATGTTACAGAATAAATTTTCTCTGCAAAAATGAAATTGGTGCTTAAATCTGCCACTTCTGCAGTGTCCTATTATTTAAGATTAAATCACCTTCATATAAAAAATGACAGGATCAATGTAAGAGAAGCAGAAAAGGAGAGGGATAGGATAGTATCTCTGTAATCCTCTTGCTTTCCTTGTTCTGCCTGTCTCTCCCATCCCCTACCCATTTGAATATCAAGAAACAGGCCATGGTAATGAGATTTTGGATAATGATTACATTTTAGTTCTCTTCACAACTAGTCTTCTTCAGAAGAATTCCACCTAAATCAAAGCTGATGGCTACTGATTTATGTGCATTTAAGCTTTCTTTAGGCTTTTTACTTTTTTTAGGCTTCTGTCCATAAACAGAAGAAACCCCTCCATTTTCTTGAAGGAAATTGAGAAATTCAAGTCTTTTGCATTTTACATCAGTTCCTTACTGTGTCTCGGGCAGATACTTACACTGGTGGAAACTGAAGGCAAAATGCTGAAGTACAGTGCTTTGCAGCTTTTCCTCTCCTTTGGTCACATTTGCTAGATTTCTGCTTTCAGTGTTTTGGATGCAGAATGAATCATCCCTGATTTCAGCTTGGCGGTCTTGTTGTCAGGCTACTTAGAATCATAGAAGCTTTTAGGTTGGAAAAGACCTTTAAGATCATCAAGTCCAACTGTTAACGCAGCACTGCCAAATCCACCACTAAACCGTGTCTCTAGACAGCACATCTACGCCTCCTGGGATTGGTGACTCAACCACCTCTCTGGGCAGCCGGTTCCAATGCCTGAATGCTACTTATTGTGAAAAATTAAACAACACAAGGTCAGAAGATCTCTCAGGGATGCCTGAATTCAAACAGTGTCAAACTACACTGTTCAACAAGTTGCACTGCTTTATCTCTTGCTCCAGAGTATTCTCTATTTCAGATTGTGCCAGTGCTGCTTAAGATTTCTGCTGAGGATTGAAACTCCAACCAGTTCTTCTTTGTCGGGTTTAAGTTTTATGATTGTGCATGGTTAGCACTGCCCTAACTCTGTGAAGTCTTTTGGAGTTCATGTTTTTGGTATGTGAAGTATGAGAGATCTGCCTGTCAGTATTCTAGTCTAACACAACAGCAGCTATGGTTTCTGAGATAATTCAAACTTACTGTGCACCTTACAGTAAAGCTGCTGTTTGCCACAGCAAAGATGAGAGACCCAGAAAGGGGACAAATGGGTAATTAGGCACATGTATTCTCTGAAAGTGTTCTCCGTGTCAGGATGAAGGGAAATACTGTTCAAGGATCTGCTGAGGTCAAATAGCGAAGGTAATTTTTGTTCGTAAATGGTTAATTGTGACTTAAAGATACCCGTATTGACAGGAACTGCAGGATAAATGTCATTGGAACTTCTTGTTTTTTTAATACACCTTAAGAAATTAAACAAAGCAAATGCATTTGGTGGCGCCCTCAGGAAAAGTCCAGTCACTTCCTGAACAGTAATCTGCCTGTGAGCAGCAGATAGATTCTCATTGTTTGCCATTTCCAGTTTCCAGTAATGGGAACGATTACTTGATCTAGCCAGTTTCGCTTGAAGATCTGGGAAAACTTAAAGATTTTAATGGCAAAATTTTATCTGTTTCCATAAAATAACAGCAGAAAAAAAACCAACCTATTTTGGTGCCTGGAGGCATCACCTCTGATGATGAATATTGTTTTATTTTGGAATTAAGTGTCTGTTCTTCAGGAACGAAATGTATCTTGCTCTTCTGGTGATTTTCTTGCAGTGTAAGTGTGGTAACTAAATATCTGGGTGGGTAAATGTGTCTGAGTTGTTGGGGTTTGTTAGGGCTTTTTACTGTTTCCCATTGCTGTCTCTTCATCTGTAAGCTTTGAAAATAACATTTGTTTTCTTTTTTTTCCCCCCAGGTTCAGAACTTTACACTCAGGAGAGAGGTAGGTAATGATAGGGTTTTTCCACATGAAAATTTAAAATAAGTTATTTAACTAATTCCTCGGTTGCTGGTGTGCATTCATAACAGAGTTTATCTCGTTTTGCTATACTGTATAGCTCAGTATAAAATTTGGACATGTAGAAAAAAGAAGGTATTACTTGGTGGTGTTTCTTGGTATTGTGTTTAAATGAGAGATGTGCTGCTCATACTTTAATAAATGTTTTGGTGAAATCTTTCCTAGAGTAATTTCCTTTACTGAGACATTCAAGAGAAGAGAACAGAGTGGAAATTTAATTACTAGCATTTTGTTTTGGTCTTTAACAAACCCTGTCATTTCCACAAGCAAGGAGGCAGGATAAAATTATAGACTGTGTTAAAGGCACTCTCCCTTGCTCTTTATCTTGCAAGAGAAAAGATCGTGTCTGAGCAGAGTACAAAACTTACGTTCTGAAAGGAATGTGTTTACTTTTTACACTGTCATCTTGCTGGCTTCCAGCACGTACGCTCTGCACGCTTCCTTTTTTCAATCACTAGGGAGAAATGTAGTACACTCACATGCAAAAATACCTAAATTTTTTGCATTGTTTTTATGCCCAAAACTCCTTCTAGCAAGGAGAGTTTCTAAGTAAGTAGCTTGTAAGTGTACATGGCAAGGGACTTCTTTAGATGCAGGAAAGTTTTCTTGTTCTAGTAGCAAATTTCTTATACAGATCCTGGGCAAAATGGGCATACCCAAAAGCTCTAAGTCCTAAAGAAAAGGAAACTGAAGGGACTCATAAATCTTTCTCTATACTTATTCATCTAGCTGTGTGAATAAAAATATATACCAGAAGTCTAATAATCATAAAATTTTAAGCTACAAATTATCTATCATTGCTGTGGTTATAAACACAGAAGCACAATAAATATATTAATGCTATTATAAACTTTATTTCTTAAAGTGCCTTTTTTTAAAAATAGGAATATAGTATTCACTGTATTTTTTAGGGATTAAATTAATTGAAAGCATTGCTTCTGCTTATGATTCTGTATTTGAATAAATCAGTATATGATTGCTAAGGACTTCTGAGAATATGATTGCTGAACCACCAGCAGTGTAAAGTTAGGCCTGTACATGTTTGCCTGCAGATCCTGAACCCAAATATCTCCTGTTGCGCTCTAGTTATCCTGAGCTAGAGGTTTAAGATTATCCCAGGCTTGTGAGATACATGTTTAAAGGGGAATTTGCTGAATGATATAACCCTAACCTTGCTTTCAGATAAAAAATACTGGGGTAACTCCAGGGATTTTGGCAAATTGCCTAGGGAGGAACAAAATTTCGTTCACCTCCCAGAATTCCTGCCAATTAGAGTTGAAAAGAATGAACCATGAGAAATAAGGAAAATCAAGAAGTAGCTGCAAACCTATTCCAGTGTCCTCTGTGTCTTCTAGGCTGTTTAGGGGGGATTCTTTCAATCCCCCAAGGCAAAGACTGAGCAAATGGGCAGTGCGTGCTGTGACAATCAGTCATGGCCTCTAGTATATCTGTGCAGTGGAATGTAAAGCTGCTCTCACTGTCAACGTCTCTGAGATCTGACCACAAAATATATAGCACCTGCTACTAGGTTACAAATAATTAATTTTTGTAGTTAACATGTAGCAGCTTGAGATAACAATATGATATTGGACTAATTGAAAATAAATAAAACCTTTTCTTTTTCTTCAAGTTTTTACTTTCAACACAGTTGAAGTCAAGGTTCAGCCATCTGTCAAAGTAAAGAATGGAGCTCCTATGTCAATTATCTGCCATGCCGATATTAGCAAAAGTGGTGATTTCCAGCTGAAGCACAATTTTACAGTTTTTAAGGATGGCAAACTTGTGTTCACGACTGTATCGGAAAAAAGAGATGCACAATATGAAATATCTATGGCTAGATCTTCAGATACAGGAGAGTATGAATGTGTTGTGGAAGCAAACAGAAAGATGAAATCTAGTAACCCTGTACATGTTTGGGTAACCGGTGAGTATTCCTTCAAACGTGGCAGCTTTCTAAGATACAAAAAAAGAACAACCTTCCAGGGGAAGTAATAATAATTACTGATGAATAGGATATCTTGCAAAGTGGCTTTTATCCATAGACATTACAGTGCTTTACAGGAGTTCAGTATTAAATCCTCATGTTAAAGCTTGGAAATCACTATCCCAAGTCCACAAGACAGACCAGTGATAGTCAGGAATGCAATGTGTGCCTCCTGTGCCACCATCCTCTCTGTCCTGAGCCTGTTCCTTAGATTAGAGAAAGTATTAGTTATGAAAGCTTGTGCATATAGATCATAAACGTGATGAGGGGCAGGGCTAGATTACTGGAAGGGCTGAAAGCAGAGTATAGAGAATCTCACCTTGGGATCCCATTGCCAAAGCTAGTCTCTACTGGACTGTTTTTGTAGTCAGTATTGTATATCAGCCTTGTTCTTTCATCTCTCCCAAGAACAGGGGTGACCTCTGTCTATAGTCTTTCTAGGCGCAGGTTCTGTAATGCTAGTGACATTTTTTTCCCTTGGAAAAGCAACTTGGAAAGAATTCGTTCAGCGCTGGGCTGTGCAGGGCCTGTGTTTTTTCTCCCGAGGCCTGTACCTCTAGGTATGGAAGTTGAGATGGCATTTAGTTTCTTCCCTTGCTCATTTTCTGAGTGGCAGTAGGAAACACTGAGGAGGAAGCGGTCTTACCTTCAAAACAGCAAGTTTCATACTCCACATGTTGAATCAAGACTGCATTACCCTCTCAAGGGACGTTTTGTTCTGCTGAAGGTGCCTTGGCATACACCCACACATCAAAGGAACTGTCTTTAAAAGCTCAGTTCTTTCAAATTATTTACATGTGTTCATGAGCATAAATCACTACCATAGTCATCAGAGATAATGTTTATTTTTAGGATTATGCCATGTTCCATTTCTTTTCTTGTTTTCTACTCTAAGGAATGACCAAGCCAATATTGACCGCTGAGAAAAAAGAAGTTTTAGAGGGTGAAGTTGTAAAATTACGTTGTGAGCTGCCAGAAGAAGAACCTCCTTTATATTTCTTTTTCTGGAAGATAAAGAGTAATTCAACACCTAAGGAAAAGCACGTATATGAACCACACAGAAATTTTTCTGAAGTGACATTTTCTGTTGAAGAGGGAGATAATATTTTACATTTTGATTGTTTTGGTAAGAGAAATGTAAATCTCGAATTTGAAAGCTCAGAACACAGCAACAAAACGCTTGTTACAGTCAGGGGTAAGTTGCTTAGCTTTTCTTTTTACGTTTCTTTTCTTGCTGTAATTAAAATGTTTGATCCTGAATTTACATGTATTCACTTGCAGAACCATTTATAAAGCCTACTTTGAATGCCAAGCCCTCAAGTAATGTTACAGAAGGAGACAGAATACAGTTTGAATGCTCAACTGTGGCAGCCCAAATGCGTGACATTGAAATCATACTGCAGAAAAACAAAACAATACTGAAGAGTGTACAAGATGAGAAACTTTTGAAATACTCTGCAGTAGCTACTCTAGAGGATAGTGGTGAATACCTGTGTAAGGTGGAGCAAGGGAGAGCATCTAAAGCCACTAAACTGAATGTTGTTGTGTCAGGTAACATCTCTATTCATCTTAGATTTTACTCAATGGATTAGTATTTAAATTTAAGTTTGGTATAACTCAAGATGCAAGTGTAACCTCCAGACCCAAGTGTAAATTTTTCCTAAGTTAAAGGCTATTTAGATTTTGGTTTCGGTTTCTGAGTTTTGTCCGCAACACTTTCCAAGTAAAATAATACTTTCAAATAACACATATGAGAAGTGGTTTCAAGTGATTGCTAAGTTTCTGTTTTCCCTGAACATATTGTTATATTAAAATAATATGATTGGGTTTTCCCCGATTGTAAACTTTCAGTATGTCTTGGACTCTGTATGCTTTGAGGTAGGTAGTCATATTCTTTTAGGCTTTATTTGAATTAATTTGTTCTCTTTTTATCTTGCAGAGTTATTCCCCAAGCCAATATTGGCTGCTTCTATGACCAAGCTGGATGAAAATAAAGAATTAACTTTGAGTTGCAGCATTAATGGTTTTCGGAAAGCTAACTTCTCTATATTACAAAAGAATTCAAATGGAGACATCTTGTTGAAAAATTCTAGAAACTTAACAATCAGAGTTAATGTGAATGATACTGGAACCTATATCTGTAAAGCTGAAGTAAAAGGAATAGTCAAAGAGAGCAAACCTGTAAGGATAAACGTTTATGGTGAGTGGATACAGAGGCTTGGAACCAAATGGTGGGAGGAAATCCAAACCATAAGCTTATAAATAAGCACATCTGTTTACAGAATCAGTCTCTAGTCTATGAACTAGCACAGTGTCTATTAGTTCTTGCAATATTAAGTTCTGTGAGATGTGCTTGTAATCTTTAGTTGTAGATGATTTTTGCCTGTCGTGATTTAATTAAGTCAGACTTTTCCAGTGCTGGCCCTTGGAGAAAGAAGTTGGCAGGTCTTCCTTCTGCTCCCTTGATTCTGCTGGGCGCCAAATAAACTCTCATTCATTGCCATTTGCAGGAGCTGAGAATATTCTGCAAACCTTTCACTCATCAGTCTTGATCTGAAACTTTGTCAGTGTCTGCCTTGAATCCCTCCCCCTGACCCTCGAGGCTGAAAGTCATGGGAGCCAGAGGTCATCTGGATAGTTCTCCAGAAAAGCTAAGATTTTGCTGTTAACACAACCCCCTTACTAGCACGCTAATTATAAACACCCTAGTTTCCCTCCCTCTCATGGAACAAGCACAGTCACTTCCCAAGACTGTAAAGGGCGGTTAAGTGGGTTGTGACTCGCCGTGCTGCAGAAAGAGAGTTCCCTGATTGGGTGCTGCAGATCCAGCTCAGGTCATAGATGTAACGGTACTCACGTATGTTCTTGCTCTGCAGACTTTGTTCTTGGGTCAGAGCTATTCTGGACTTTGGATGATCCACAGCAGTGTCTCTAATCCTTTTTTTATTTGTCTCTACATTCCCCCTGTATGCTGTTTTAGTCCACATCATATATGTTTTATTATCTATGGTTTTGATTTGTTCACATCCCCCTGCTTCCAGTCCATGAATGAGGAAGAGGTACCAGTATAGGCTGTTGGCAGAAACCAGCTACATATTCTATATTTATATGTTTTAAATAAAATAATATTGTATCTTTTGGCCTTACGCTGTGTAACTTGCAGTATTTCTTTTTTTAGCTCCAGTCTCCAAGCCAACCCTTTCTGTTGTCAGTGGTTTACCAGAAGTGGTGCTGGGGAGGCCTCTACGGTTAATTTGTCATTCAGCAATGGGAACACCACCAATAAATTTCACATTCTACAAAGGAAATGAAGTTAAGAAAACAGTAATTAATGACACATATGCTACATTCTTGGATGAAAATATTAGACAGAATGACAAAAGAGGATACAGATGTGATGCTAGGAATAATCACTCCAGTAGTACGAAAACTAGCAATATTCTAAACATCACAGTAATAGGTGAGCGATTCTCATTCTTGTCTAATGTTATATTTTGATTTTTGAAAATGTAGCAGCAAAAGGGATGTGAAATATTTATAAATTTTTGCTCAATTTAATTAAAAATAGTTGGAGATCGATATCACAAATTGCCACTAAATCCTGATAGTAATCTGAATCAAGTTCACTACAGCTGGGTTTATTTTAATGTTAAAACCAGATCTGACTTGCGATCATAAAGAAACTGTTTTAGTAAAAATTTCAGGACCAGATCCCTTTTCTTCATGTTTGATATTCATAGGCCTGGATTAAATGTCTACATAATGATACTTGAGTTAGTCTGTGATTTTATTCACTAAAAGAATTGAGCTAGCTAGAATCCTGGTAAAAGATGTCAATCTGCACTTTTAGTAATCTCCCTAAATACCTGTTACTGTAGCTTTCAGAGGCACTGAGTATATATTCAACACCAGAAGCTGCAGTTGCTCTGTAGCTCTGAAAGCCAGTCTATTATTCTGCCTTAATAGCAAATAGGAGTTACTATATACAAGTATCTGACCTACAAATGTGTGTGAAGTGGAAAGGGAAAATTCCTCTGCCCATGAGGGAAGTTAGTAGTTGCAGCTTTAAAAGGAAGATGACTTACAAGTCCACTCTGGGAATCTTAACAGCACTCCAAGAAGGGAAATCTGAGTGAAAAAGCTTTGATTTGCAAGTGTGCTATTGGCAGAGATACCGAAGCAAATAATAATTCTGTAACAGGCTATGTAAGACTGGTGTCAGGACTGATAACTCTTAAACATGTGTGGGTTTCACTGTCATTATGTGTGTAAGAGAGCCTCTCGTCTTGGTAGGATTTTTGAACCAGTGTACTGTGTTTCTGTAGGTTTGTTTGGTGTGCTCAGAGCAGATGGTAGTGAGGTTTCCTGTGACAGTTCCTGGTTTAGGTCTTAGTGGTTCAAAGGTTTGGCTCAAGAAAATTATGTCACTGATTTAGGTATGTTCTGTCCCCATCACAAGCAGTTTCCTGTGTGCCCACAGAGCTTGTTTGTTAACAAGATATTGATTGGAATTTGAATTTAATGTGAAAACCTAAGATAAACAATTGTAGACAACAGAGTATCTGTTTGAGGAGGCATGAAGTGATCATCCCCCTCTATTGGGCACTGGTGAGGCTGCACCTTGAATACTGTGTTCAGTTTTGGGCCTCTCACTGCAAGAAAAACACTGAGGTGCTGGAACATGTCCAGGGAATGGAATAGAACTGCGGGAGGGTCTGGAGCACAATTCCTGTGAGGGTGAGGCTGAGGGAGCTGAGGATAGAGGTTTAGATTAGATATCAGGAAGAAATTCTCACAGAGAGGGTGGTGAGGCACTGGGACAGGTTGCCCAGAGATGTTGTGGATGCCCCATCCCTGGATGTCTTCAAGGCCAGGCTGGATGGGGCTTTGAGCAACCTGGTCTAGTGCAAGGTGTCCCTGCCTATGGCAGGGGGGTTGGAACTAGATGATCTTTAAGGTCCCTTCCAACCCAAACCATTCTATGATTCTATGATATGCAGTCTGGAGAAGAGGAGGCTCGGGAAGACCTTATCACTCCCTACAATTGCCCAAACCTCTACCCCACTTGGTTCAGAGCTGTCGAAAAATTCAACTAGCTTGGTAGTGGTCAGCAATATGTGGTGAAAGACAAGTAGAGCTGTGTATCCTATGTACATTGTTGACACCTGTGTCATTGTCATTTGACCAAATAGTAAGCACATACAGCTATTGGAAAAAACAGAATTCTCTGTGTCAGTAAGGGAATTGGTGATGGAGGCTGCACTTGTAGAGCCATTTTAACCCATATCCTTGGCTCTTCGCTGTTTTTCTTGAACGTATCAGCAGTAGTTTAGATTTATCTAACCTGATTACAGCAAAGTAGTCCAGGACTAGAGCAGAAGTCTATACCTGACCTATTGAAAAGAAGAGGATATCTTTCTCTACCACTGAGTTTTCAGTTTTGTGTCCCAACTTGAACCTAAATTTTGTTAGTTTTAATAAGATAAACTTGTGATTAACAGGCTGGTTTCTGTCCAAGTTTTGACATTGAGTTGTATATGACTGGAAGAGACACATCCAGAATTGTTGCATTTCTTCTGAGTCAGCTGGATGACATTAAAGCAAGAATTTCTACCATGCAATATCTTATCATCAGAGCTATTTCTATTAGTGCTAATATTTGTTTTCCTTGTGCCTTCCTCTGTAGTACCCATACTTGGGCAGTGTTCCATATGGACAAGTGGAAGATGGCAGAGAGACTGTTTTTCTTTGCTCTGTGAATGAAGGATCTTGGCCAATCCTCTTCAGGATTTTTAGAAAAACTGATCGTGAAGTACTTTTATTTGAAAAACTTGAACATGCACACAGAGTCGTGTGGCGCAAGGAAGCAATGAACAAGCAGGACACAGGGACGTATTACTGCGTGGCTTCTAATCGAGCTAGTGTGGATGTGAAAAGTCATCCAATAACCATCAGCGGTAAGCTAGCTTTTCTAATAAGCTGCATACTGTGTCACCGTGACAGGTGAGGTCATGCTCTCTGGGATGTTACTAAGTATAACTCCCTTATTTGTTTTTGTTCCGCCGTTGTCAGAAGTCCTACAGAGAGATCGTTTATAAACAGAGATTGCCCAACTTAGAATCTAAGTTTTAAGGGATGCTCATAAGCCAAAGGAACCAGATGCAAGTTAAAAGCAACCCATTGTTGTACTGAGGTTTTGGTCACAAGGGAGAGACTCACTAGTGGCCTTTGCCTGCAAGTAGCCTTAAAGTTCTTCCCAAGGGTGTAAGAAGGCCAGTTTGTAGTAAAATGAAAGGCTAGGAACTGCAGAAGTTTGTAATGATGACCTGTCACTGTACACACTGTTAAACATGTCTTTCTTATTTTCAGTCATCTTAGCGGCTTGGCAGAAAGGAATCATTGCTGCATTTGTCCTAATACCTATTGCAGGAGCAGTAACTCTCACTTTATGGTGGTTTTTGTGTAAGAAGAAAAAGGGTAATGAATGGTTCCCTTTTATTTCTTTGATGACAAATGTATTACAGTTAAAAACTTGTATTTGTTTCAGAAACAAAGTCTTGTGGGGATGAGGCTTCAGGAGATGACTAAATACCATTTTAAAAATCTAAAAATCTACTTTAAAATGTCAAGGGCCCAAATTAAACCACAAGTGTGCTGAAGCTTTCCATGTATATTGGGCAGGATGGGAGCATCTAACTAATGGTGCTGGAAAGGCACTAGTGAAGCAGAGGTTGTTGGAGATAGGCCAGAACTGCACTGTTCGGATGCAGTCCTTGGTCTGGAATTCAGTCCCATGCAACGTAGAGGGCCAACAGGGCCTGAGGAGTTTTTTGATCCCATATGGAGCTATGACACTTAGATTTGGGGTCCCAACTCAGGTGGAACTGAGGTACGTCTCTAATCCTCATGAAACAAAATTAATAAGTTGTGGGGTGGCCGTTTTTCTCTTCACACTGTAATACAATTTCACTTAGGAATCTCTGCTTTATCATTAAGGTATTCTTTCAGATCTTGTTCTTTCAGAAAATAAGTAAATCTGGTTTAAATTAAAATCCTGTGATATGCTGTACATTGCAAAATATTTGGGAAAATTTGGAGTATCTGGATGTCCCAGACTGTATAAATTGGCCAGGCTAAAGTCTGGGGTTTGGGATCTTAGGTTCTCTGGGAAAGAGGCATTTAAGGGACCTGGGTGATAAACAGGATGTAAGACACTGGGTAGTTAATTTTGTGATATCCAGGAGAAATTATTCTGACTTGGGTAGATAATCACTATATTTTTGCTTTGATTTTTACTTTTAAATGTGCAATCTATTAATAGATGCTTTTATTTTTCTTTGTCAAGCTAAAGGACCGTCCATGGAGATGTCTGGGTAAGATGGCTCACTTTCTGGTAGTGGTGAAGTATTTCTGTGTAAAGGGCTGGAGGCCTTCCACTGTATGAATATAGTTGATTATGGCACACACCTGCAGACAATAGATGGGCGTGCTTCATGTACCACCTGCTAACACAACAACAGGATGAGGAAATGCTCTAAAAATAGAAAAAAAAGGCAAGCTAAGAGAAATAGAAGAATGTCAGGCCTACATTTCAATGCATTTTGATATGAAATGAAAAGTACAGACGTCTTAAAGAAAAGTAATGCAAGACAGATCATTTTTTACCTTCAAGTTTGCTTTTGCTCCATTTAAGGACAAAACCAAAATTTTCATTTCTCTTCAGTAGTTAAGAGTATGTGGTAGTCAGCAGAGACAATGACTTATCTTTGCATATCAGCATGTTTTTATTGACTGGTTTTGGGTATTTACATCAACTTTTATTGGTTTGCTTTTCAGTTCTGCCTTGGCTACAAACTTGACAAGTGAAAAACTGACAAGACAGCACAATGATGGAGACTACTATTCAGGTAGGACATTTTGCTGTAGGACTATTAGTGTGTTGGCTTAATTAAACAATTATTCAAAGTTTTAGACTTGCATGGTGGTTGTTTGGATAGCACCCAGCATTTTGGGTATACACAGGAATACCAATAACATTCTCCCAAGTACCTTCTATCATTTTGTCTTTGTACAGCTTTTTATGAGCCCGTCTTATACAAAGATGGGTTTATAAGTCTGCTCAGACACTTTACCAGCCAATCAGTTAACAGTGATGAAGAGATCATGGTAAAAGAAAGTTACTTTCTGGTTTTGAGAGTTTTGACACAGCTGCAAGAAAATTATTTCAGAGAGGAGATTGGAGTTGTTGCCCGCGGTCCTGTGATGTGGCCACAGTATAGCGATGTTAACTTGCCATCACTGGGCACCTTTCATTCCAGGATCTCAGTGCACTTCACAGAGACAGGTGGACATGTTGTTCAGAGCACCTGATACAAACAAAGTTACACTTTTGGTGTTTTTTAGCTGATGATTTAAGAAGCCAAATTCTTCCCACGTGTCATGTATGAATATTTTAGGTGTGAATCTAAAAGTAGAATTTCTCAAATGTCATTATGTTTTTTTACAGTAGGAGTTGCAGCTGTGTAACTCATGCATTTGATTGGCTATAATAAATATTTTGTCAGCTCAACTTTTTCTTAAAATATTTTAGGATCAGGTTACATTGAAGATGGTGAAAATCACATGAAATCAACAGATGAGAGTAAAGGTAACTTCATATTTAATCAATGTTAAAATTATTTTATGATTGAAAGTTGTGATTTTTCTAATGCTAGCAAGCAGCATTTGAATAGTATCAGTCCTTTCCCTTTTCTCTTTGACAGTGGGAAGGAGTTTCTCTCCGGTGAGCTTAGCTCTTCTTCCTACATGCAAAATGACAATGATAGGACTCATTTACAAACTCCATTATGAAGGGTAGTTAGTTGTGCTGGATTCCAGGCCATCTAATGAAGGATAAAAATACAACTTACTCAAAACTTTAAGTTGTATACAACAAATATTCAGAACTTTAAAAAAATAATATTTTCTACAGACTTCTGCTTTTTTTACTTCTCTCCTTTCTTCATTGCTGAGATATTGAAATATTTACGCATTAAACCTAAAAATAATCTACTGTGAAATCTCAGTAAAATAACCTGCCATATACCTTGAGACACCATGTGGACTATACATATATATATGTAAATTAGAACACGTCATGAAGCACTGCATCATCTAGCTCATTCAAGGCTGGTGTTTTTAAGATATTTAGTTAAAGAATAATGCTTAAATATGTGGACATTGCCATCTGAAAGCATACTTTGTCCCATGTATTTTTGTTTTATATTAATGTGAAAATAATCTAGTGGGTGAGGTGCAATTTCTGATAGCTTATAGTACATTTTGTCTTGGTTGTCTCTTGGATCATGAGTTGAAGGGTAGTTGTAAAAGCATCTAGTGTAACTAAAGATCAGACTTAAGATAAAATTAATCCAGCGCATGGAACTGCATGCCTGCATAAGCCTGTGTGCAATGTAGGTGGCAGGAATGTCTAATTAGCAATTCTTCGATGCAGTTCTGAGTGTTCAGGGCAGCGTTGTACCACAAAACTAAGAGAAAGAGGCTGTACTAAGTTAACTAAGTTAATTTCACAGGAAAACACCTTTGGAAGCTCTAGTTCAATGACTCCTGTTTTTTCCATTGTATCCTACCTGTTCCAGGTGAAATGGGCTCTGGTCTAATGATCTAATGTGCCAGAAATTAATGGGTACAGTCCATAACTACTGCAGACTGGACAGCTTCCTTAAAACCATTAGGCTATTGCAGATCTTTCTACCAGATGTGAAAAACAAGTCAGTTATTCATATAACTTCAAAAATAACAGTATCTGCTCTGTGTTTGTGTGGCAATAGCTTTTACTTCAGCAAGCAGAAGGAAGGAGCCTTATAGTTGGTGCATGGAATTCCATTGTGGCCTGAATAAGTCAAATACTAGAGACACATTCTCATGCAAAACAAACATACAGACAGCAGAAACATAGGAACGTGAGGCGGTATTGATGATTCAGAATCACTGCTGTTGTAGGAAGCATGTCATTTAAACTTTGTTATTAACTAATAATGCCTCCTTAAACATGGTTTTTGTTTTGTTCATCTTTTTTTTTGTTTTTCTTCTCTCACCAATGTTACTGGAAGGTTGCTCCAGGCTTTGCTGTTCAAATCATTAGGTCTTTCTCTAAATTATGTTCTAAAAAATCCACAAGCAGGATTCCAATATGGATAACTGTTGTGGTTCTTTGCAGCTTTTACAGAAACCTAGTAGAAAAACGTCTCTGCCCTAAGGAACAGGCAGAGTGGAAAACAACAGCTGTTTTGTGTGTCTGTTGTATCCAGGTAGCCAGGACTTGTCAGCCAGTAGTGTTAGTAAATCAGGTGTCCAATCACTGTCAGGCTGTCGGTGGGCATTGTGGCAGAGAAGCATTTTGAGGAGGAAGGCAGGTTGCCATTGTTCATGGAAAGCTTGAAGGACAACATAGAAATTCTGAAATTGCTTATTGGCAAAGCAGAAATTGAGAGCATGAGGTGATGAGGGCAGCTATGAAAGTCTATGGGAAAGCTTTGAAAGTGAGGAAAGTGTAGAATGGGAAGTGTTCTGCCATAGCAGCTGTAGTAAAGAAGGAAGAATTCATGGCAGGGAGAGAAATAGAAGAGAGAGGAGATGGAACTGGAGCAGGAATATGGGAGAATCTCAGATAATTCCCAGCTCCATTTATGTCGTGCCACTTTTGAAGGTGTTAGATTGAAACTAAGATTTTAGGCACAATTTGCATGTCTCACATTTACAGAAATCTGGCTCAAATTGGTCTATTGCCTTTCAGATTGGGGTGACCCTTAGGAATGTGTTGGCCTTACAACTCTTAGCAGAATGACTCACATCTGCCAGAAATAGGGCCTGATCCTGCACCTGTCAAAGTCAATGAGGACTTGTCCATTAATTTCAGCGGCAGCAGGATCAGGCCCACAGCTCAAATGAAGCATGCAGTCCTACAAAGAAACATCTTCTTGGTATTTTTGGGGCAGGACCTGACCTTGAGAGTGCTGAGGTGGAGTACACTGAAGTTGAAGTATCAACGCTTGATCCTCACAGAGGTAATAAACTGTCTGGCCTCTATGGTTTTCTTTTGGGAGCAACTCTGAGCACGTTGCTACTCCCTGACAGCGGTCTGATATTGGCACCTGTGAAAGTAAGAGCAGGTTGTGTTTTTTGTGCGTGACACGTTCATGCAAGCAGCACTTCTTAATCGATGATGCTGTGGCAACCATGCTGTTGCTCATCGCAGCCCTTCTTCCCCTGGGATCCTCTCGTGCACTTGCCCTTCCCATCCACATGAGGTCTGTGCGGAGCAGGGCTCCCAGCTGGAGCTGTGGCTCTGAGCAGAAGGCAGCCTGCTGTCGATCTTCATGTTATAGGGTCCAGATCCACTGACAGCCATTAGAGGCTAGCCTGGTCAAAGCTGTAATTCACTTGTGATACAGAAGGAAGAGAGACCAGCATAGATTTAATCTCTCAGCCTGGAGAGGTCTGGAGATCGTCCCAGATTTTGTGGCACATCAAACAGAGAAATGAGAATAGTGATGCCCAGATAATTTTGACCTCCTACTTTCTCAGTTCTATGGTAACAGTAACCAGACCTCATAGCATGATGCTGTGAGGAGAAATACCCACTGAAATTTATTCTCAACACCCAAATGCACACTTGAGTCATTCTGTGTCATCTGGAGAACTGGGATATCGTTATGCCCTTGTGTTGAGAACTGTTACGTCTTTCAGAAATTTACAAAAGTTTCAAGTAGCTCAGAGTGAATAAAACCCATGAGAAATGTTTATGCTGTGTGCTAGCTTGTCTGCTTTGGCTGAGGGAAAAGCAGACTGAGGAAAAAAATGGATAAATTTGCTTTTTCCTGGTAGGAAGAACCACTCATTTATTTCAGAGACCAAAGAAATGTTTAGTTAGTAATACAAATGTCTGTGCAAAAGTGCTCACTCTTCAAGCTTGGCAGCAAAGCTCTCCTGGAACAGCCAGTCCTCTTACTCTTTCTCTGTTTTCACTCGCTGGTATCATCCATCACAGAGTTTTCAGGGTGTTCTAAGCATGCTATTTGTCCACCTCTGCTAAATTCTGCACTGAGATCCCACAGTTGTTGTACCCTTTTTCAGAACAGGGCTAATATTTAATTGTTCCAACTGTTTATGAGCATGCACTACACAATACAGTGGTGTGGAATGGTAATGCTAGTGGATGATTATTTAAAATAAAAGCCTTATTAAATGCAAGATCAGCATCTCTAAAAATAGCCTTTTCATCCCATTCCTGATGTATGACACCATTCCAGTATACCAGACAGAGTAATAAGATAGTATCCATGCTATGTGGACTGAAGCCCATCAAACTACAAACTGCAAAATAATGCTTAAAATTCTGTAAATGAGATCAGATTATTTTAACTGAATGCTGTCTCATGTTACAGACCTATGTATGACATACAGAACATGAATTGATTTTGTAAGACTGAACCGTGTTTCAAGTATACTGAGATACAACAGCTCCTTAATCTTACTTCCTTTGCACCCAGGACACAAGTGAATGCTTTGGTTACATAAATGACAGCTGCACTGCAAGTGTTTAATGTGTTAATCCTTCAGAGCATCCTGAGGATGCTGTTCAAATGGAAGGAGTTGTATGAAACCAAGTTACAAGATTAATGTTTTCAGTTCCACACTCCCTATCACAATGAGAACAGGATGAGATCTGTTCTTGGGAAAAGAGAAGCAAAGCCAAGTTTCTTTACGTACCCTTCTAATAATCATGTACACCCACAAAAATAAATCAGCCATAGGACTGCCACCATAACATTGATGTTATGGTACAAGTTTTACTTCAACTAATAATCTTCATGTCTGTCTGTGGATTATGACCAGTCCTTCTTAGGGAACACTTTCAGATTATCACCTAGCTCCAATTCCCTATCGCACCTCTTTTGATTCCATGTTTTCTGAATGAAGACAAAATATATCACGTTTACCTTTTCTCTGGGCATGCAGGTGTCATCCAGCAGACTGCATGTAGAGTCTGATTCCTTCTGCTTTCTGAGGAACTCTAGATTTCTCTGATCTCTCAGGACTAACTTCAAATTAATTATTTTTCCTGCCACTGTTATCAGTGTCAATATTAATGTTCATCTCAGGAGCAGAATCATCATATTTTGTGCATTGTGAAAGACTGCTACAATAAATACTGCAGTATGTAAGCTATAACAGTAGCGTTTGTGTCCATTTTGGGAATCAGAATAATGGAATGCCACCTCAAAACAAGTGCACATAATTGTAGAAGGATGTACATCTCGTCTTTGACACAAAAGAACCACTTGCATTTGAAAACAGTGATTTAACCCTGTTTTTCCAGCCATGTCTGCACTAGCTGGTTATTTCTAAATACCTTTAAACACAGTATAATGGTAAATAGGCTAGTGTTTCAAGAACGTTGTGTACTATGCTTCTGCGTGAGGAGCGAAAAACAGAGTTCATTACAGTGTTACTGGTGGTGGTAAGCTTGCTAGAAACAGACTTCTTGCTATTTTCAGGCCTTTAGACAAGGCTTTGCTACTGGGGTAGTGTCTGTAGATCCGTATCAAAACTCTGTGGATAGGTTTTCACAGATGCCAGATAGCAAAAAAGGAAGAGTGTTTTGCTTTCCATCTCATACAAGACCTGAGGTTTACAGGTTTATTTGTAAACCTAAGGGTCTGAAAAATGTGTGTTGAAGACTAACATTGCATTTGTACCCCAGATGGGTCCTTGAAGACACAAATCTCTCTGCTTTTTCTCCTTACTTCCTGTCTTTCCACAAGCCTTCTGAGCCTTCACTCCCGCTGTGCCCACCTGATCTCAGTGCACTAATGGAAGAGCCCCCCAGGCTGAGGAACTGAGAGGAGATCTTTCCTGGGGTAGCAGCTGAATAGAAGCTGTGCTGTGTGAAATCTGCAAATATTCTCAGACATTTCACAAAGAACAGCAAATTAGATTTTTTGTGTGCCCATAAAATTTAACCAGGCTAGTTGCCTAAAGTGGGTATAGTTAATCTTACAATGATAGATCTCCCCAGGTCTGGGATCCCTAAATCCTTAGAACACACTGACGAAACTTTTCTAAGCGATCCACTCTTCCACTCGTGAAGAAACTCTTCTCTAGTGGTAGATGTCTCTGTAAAATTAAGACCGTATCTGTTTAGGTTGAGAAGATTATTAGGATGTTAAAGTCAAATTTAGAAGGTGATGCCTGTTCTCATCATCATTTCGATATCAAAGGAGAGACATCTCCCTCTCGGAACCTTACAGACTGGGTTTGGGGGAGGCGGTGAAGTTGCTTCTTCATACAGACTCCACAGGCTCATTGCTGCTTATGTAACTCTGAAAGTAAAACAGTGTGTTCTGTTTGTTTAAGGAGCTTTTCGTAAGGCTAAATAAATAAATAAATAAAATAAGATAAGAAAAGAAAAGAAATTGATTGTGTGCCAATACATTTTCCAGCTCCTGTACAGAAGGGGACTGAAACAGTTTATAGTGAAATCAGAAAAGCTAATAATGGTAAGTAAGCTAGCAAAAATTAATCATATAAAGGAAGCGTTTGTGTAGAGATTAGGGATAAATTTGTGACTGAATAGTTTAAAAGATAAATGCCATAAAAAGACATCCAAGTCTCACAGGAGCATACCAAAGGGCAGCTACAATATCACAGGTGTTGATAGATTGTATAACACCTTCATGGTTTCTCATAAACCAATGATATTTAATGCAGTGGGATTAACACTTGTAACATCTACATCATCAGCCCCTTTGCACTGTATCTGCTAAACAGTTTGGCCATACATCTGGATCTGAATCTGGACCTCAATATGCCCTGTTAGGGATTCAGATGCTACGTTGTGTTATCTCAGACTGCTCACGAACAACACTTGTCCTCTCCGTTGAGCAGGTTTGCCATGTGTTACAAAATATGACACTGGTTTTGGATGTAATCCCAGCAAATATCTGTAAAACCCCTAACAACAAACTAAAAACCTTTGAAGAAGTATGATCACTTCAGTAAGGGTGGGTTGTTTGTTTTAAGCACCCTAAAAAATTGTCTTTTATTGTACGTGCCAGCCACTCTACCCTTCTACCTCCTGTAACACAGATTTGTATGTGGGCATTAGCAGCCTGCTGGCAATTACTGTCTAGAAATGTTCTGGCACTAGGAAGCTCAGTGACAGTAGGTTAAAAGCGTTTCTTCACAGTTTGTCAAAGGCTAAATCAGAAAGGATTTCCTTTCCTCTCTTTGTGTTAGGAAGTCTAGATTTGTAAATATTAGGGCTGCAAACTGTTCAGGTTTTGTCCCCATCCATGTTACCAACGGGGTTTGATATGAGCCATTTTAAATTTTTGATCTTTGTGTTTTCATTTGCTGTTTTCCTATTTTATAAGGGATTTCTCACCGCTCCAACACAGTATTTGGTTTTCTAGGGAATCTTTCATGTGGAGGTATCCAAGCACTTTAGAAAACATTACTTAATTTTCCCTTGTGAGGACTTATAAGGCATTTTTAATCTTCATTTTACAGCTGAATAAACAGACGGATTAGGTCATTTGTTAAAGGCAATGTGTTTAGAAAGCGACAACACTGGGAACAGAATTTCAGAATCCTGATTCCTGTCTTGGTGCTGAGCCTATGTATTGCGCTCATTTTTTACATCCTTGCAGTGAAAAGCAGAGTGTCCTTTACACTGAAGAACAGGGCTGGGTACTTTATGTAGAATCACTTGGCAGCATCATGAAAAAAAAAAAAGCTTGTTTCAGGGCTGAACCTAAAGGCCACTGATGTTTTGAAACGTTTTTCAGTGAGTGTGAGCTGGACCTGTAACAAACTGCAGAAGCTGACGGGATAACCCCTTGCTTGCTTTCTGCCAAGGCGTGAAGCTGATTATTACACCTTTCACCATTCCTATTTTTGACGTAACGGACAGTGTTACATATTAGAAGGATGTTTTTTGAGTTGTGGTGTAAACTCAAGGTTGGTACATCAGAACTGTGATTCAAAGCGCTTGCTATGAAGTGGGAACTGCAATAAAAAGAGGTATGATTGAAAGACTGAGCTGAATTAGCCAGATGATATGCAACCCCCCTTAATCTTGCTGTCCACCTGCTCTTTCATGCATAACATTCTACAGTTTCAGTTATTCTTGGAAACATAGTAACAGTTTATTGTTATAAACACGTCTGTTTTTCCTGACTGATACACAGGAAAAGTGTTTCCAATAGATAAGCAGTGCATCACATAGCTGTGCAGTTGCTTTGGATAGCTACATGGCAGTCTATTTAAGTGTAACATTTACTTTGATTTTTGATCAGCTGTGTGACTGGAAGGTGGCAAAGTATAAATGCGGTGGAAGATCCCTAGGAAATAGAGCTATCTTCTTAAGTCCTTTAATGTATATTAATATATGCATATTAACGGCTAATTGTGAAAGGTGTTGAACATTACCAGTGGGTGCAGAAGTTGGTTTACCATTATTTGAATATTCTCTGAGATTTTTGAGCAAACACCCAAGAGTACAAACTACTTCAGGAAGTTAATGGTTCAGACAAACATGTCATCTGGGGAAATTACATTAATTTGAGAATTGGTGTCAGCCACATAGTTTCACAGATTTAACACCTGAGACCTTTGTAACATTTTATTATTATTTGTTTGTACGTAATTATTGTGGTTTGGGTTTGTTTAATTAGAATTAGTTGAGTGCTTGATGAGCACTTTTGGTTTTTCAAGGAGTTGTCTCTGCATTCCAGAAATTGTGTCCACTAGAGGAGAAGCTGTCAGTAGTTGTTATGTCTAATGCAATTCCTTGTGACTGAGCTAAAATATTTTTCCATATTTTTCTGATGGCTCTAACTGCTGTCCCCTCTAAGGCAGATGCCATGTCAGTAACCAACTTCTGTATTTTGAGTACTTCAGCTATTGCTTGTCCTTATCCCAAATCATGAATCTGCATGAATTATCAATGCAGATAATACTCTGACTTTTACCAAGCCCCAGGTCTTTGGCAGTGTGCTGAACATCTGCCATTATTCCTTTTTATTTTTCTGATATTGGCTATGTTATCTCCTGCTAGTATCATTTTAGTGTCTCCAGCACAGGATGGTGAGATGTCCTATCCTATCTACTGTGCTGCTTTCCTTATTCTGAGTACCAGGCCTAAAGAGGTGTTACATTAAAGATAGACAGAAACAAACCGTCAGATGCACATGTCAAATCCCAGAAGACCTGCATGTTTTTAATGACAGTTAACCCCCTTAACAGTAGGAAAAGCAGGTCACCTGTGAAATTCAGGTCTAGTCATCTGTATTTTGATTGAAAGTCAAAGAATAGTACTGTAGATAGAGAACATCAGTGTCTTTAGTTGCACATTAGATTTCCTCTGACATAACGAGGGGTTTAAGGAGGATGCTGGTCACTAGCATTGTCTCTGAAACTCAAGGAGATGAAGTTGTCCTTGCATTGTTATTGAGAAGTTAGTTTAAATCAGAGAAAGAAGTTGTAGTGTTCAGGAAGTTCACCCAGGTTTTGATTTAAAACCTCTTCTAGAGCAGTAAGATGTTACTTTAGTCTAATTTTACATAAAACTAAAGCTTCAAGCCTCAGCTTTAAATCAAACCTTAATCCAAATGGCAGTTCAGGGAATGGTCACAGTTAGTACCAATCAGGTCAGTAGCACCTTTGTCTAAAAGTCCTTCACACCTATCAGGAAGAACTAATTTCCTTAAAATACTGCTTTCTCTGTTTGCTCTATGAAAAGGTCAAAGTGTACTGGGAGTCGGGAATGTCCAGTCCAGTCCCAGAGCTGTTGCTTTTTTGTTCAGAAAGAACTGAGACAATCTGAGACTTAAGCAAAACAGGCAATTGTCTAAATCCACAGACTGCCAAGAACGATAAAATGACTGTGGCCCTGCTGCCTACTTTGCCTGTGCTGGAGTCCCAACAGACTAGGCTGGCAGCTGAAGCTCTTCCTGAGGGAGGGGTCAGGATGTGTCAGATACCAAGTTCAGCTGGGTGGGTGGAGGTTCTTTTAGATAGCCATGATTTACTTCCATCACACCTTTCATCCTCCCAAGAAGCAGCTCCATGCTGGTTCTTTATCTCAGCCCCACCCCTTCCCTCAACATTGGTCCCAGTTCTTGGGGCAACACAGTTCTCTTCATACTGCTGAGAAGACTGGAGCCAACTCCAGTTCACAGATTTCCTTACATGTTTTATAGGGCGCTTCTTGTGGAAGACAATGTATTAGTACATTCTTGCTCCTTGGTGAACTCTGCCTTTGCTTTGTTATCAGATCTAAAGGTCACAGAAGCCAGTGATAGGCTTTGCGCTGATCTTGATGTACGCTGAACTGAACTCACAGCAGCTTACTGCAAGATAGCGATTCCTAATTACTTATTAGGAAACTGGAAATCTAGTGAACACAATGCAGAGCCAGCCTTTATGCTGCTAAGTCTGGAAAAATGAGTTGGTCATTTGGAAGCGACTGCAGTGGCAAGACAGGAAATTCTAAGAATCCTATTGCAACCAACAATGTACTATGGAAAAATAAATATATCCCAGTGGAAAGAGGCATGAGAAATCCCCTTTGCATTCAGTAGTGTGGAACAAACTATTAGAAATCAGTTCTAGCAATCAGGAAATCTGCTTAAATACTTTCCTGCTACTGAGCCTCAGGCTTAACACCTCTGTACTTAGCCAGAATTTCCCACTAAATGCCTTTTCCAGCATAAAGAAAATTCACAGGGTCTGGGGATTCATTATGTTATTCCAAATTCAGGCCTTATGAGCGCATGCTGGTTGCATGCAGTCTGAAATCATGCAAAGAACCTTTTCCTTCTCCAAAATAAAACCTCTTTGGATCTTTAGATTTTAAGACATGTTCTAGACCAAAGCCTGGATCTGTGAGACATCAATTCCAGGGCCAAATGCTTACAAAATCTGCAGCCAAAAATGAGTCAAAGACAGATGGTTTCAGTAAGGCACAAATATACAGGGAGCTTCTGACCTTACTTGAACCTAAAATGCAAAACTGAATTGCGTGCATGCCCGTGTAAGATATGTTCCCAAGCTGCCTGCCAAGATTCTCTGTTAGAAGCTACTGCTTCAATAAAAGGCTTGGCAGAACTTAGTATGTGTCTGCAGTTCAGTTGATAATCTCGCGCCCGAGCTTTCACCAGTGCTGAAGATGGGTTTGAGATGGATTATGAATTGCAACTCTTCATGTGTATATTCTCTTCTCCATAAACTCTAGCAATGAGAAGGGGCAGAGCAAATGGGAATGACAGTATCTTAAATTCCTGCCGTTAATATATTCCTTTGGATTTAGAACTCCATCAACAAAAAGCAGTAACGGGAGTTTAAATCCATCAGAAATCCATAAACACCTGCCTTTATTAGACTAGGGACTCTTTTAGAAACCACCAGCGCTAGACCTTCAGCTCTGACTCCTTTCATGAAATATGCAGCTTCTTGTTTGCCCTACTATGGAAGCTTGACCAATGTTTCTGTATGTGACTAGAATCCAGCATATCTCTTCTCCCTGTTTCTGCTAGTAAGGGAAAGCTAGGTGTCATTTGAAAACCTTTTTGTTCTCTTTCATCTCAGTAAAATCAGTGTTTCAAGTAAAAAACATTTCAAATTTTTAACAGGAATGAAATAAAAAGGTTGTGAAAAGGTCGACGTAGCAAAGAATCAGCAAAAGCACCGTATCACTGTGCTTTCATTAGGGGCTGCATGCTGATGTACCTGATTGGTATCTTTTAGAAACCATCAAGCCTTCCAGCAGCACTTTCAAAGGACACAGATGATGACATTCTCCAGGTAGAGATAGGACACATAGCTAGAACGCCACACTGTTCAGAATCTGGGTGACAGGTAACAAGGAGGAGGGATATCTCCTATTGTGACCTAGTAGCTTTGGGGTAGCAAACATCCCGTTGTTTGAAGTTTGGAAGTTACACAAAATTTCTCATTTCCTCCTTCCTGTAAGCACAATACATTGTGACAGAGGACTCAACTGCAGCTCATTAATACCTTGCTTCATAAACCTTACGTGTTGATTTGCCCACTTAAAGTCAAGCTTTGATGTAGGACTGGGTCAGCAGTGGTTTTGTTCTCTTCTGTCAGCTTTCAGGACACAAAAATCTTGTTGTGGTTTAGCACTAAGCCAGCTACACATGTTGCCCATGTAACTTTTTATTTTGTTTCTTATTAAAGTGGCTAAACACACAGGGATCAATCTTGTCAAACACTGAGATCAATTTTATAATGAAATCAAGTTTATGCACTTTGATAAGGTGCTGTACTCACCTCAGTTTTTAATCCTTTCCTAGGCTAAAAGTTCTGGGTAGAACTGTCTGGGAGTAACTCGTAGTGTACAGTACCAGTGATATTCAGGTAGTGTCTCTGTGTTCCAGAAATTGCCACCTGATTTTATACTGTTTGTGGTGCTGCTTTCAGTGAAGCAGAATTGCAATCCTATCATAATGAAAGTGCCGATGGCAGGTGCTCTACGAGCTTAACTGCACCACAGATAGACAGGGATGTAATCATAAAGGAAAGGGGAAAAGAAACTGTAGCGTTACCTGCAAAGTTAGACTCACCGTGTGAATCACCCTTTCAGAGGGAGAAGAAGTGTTTGTGGTTTAGTATTTGAAGATATTCTGTGAAACTTCTGAATAGCTAAATCCACTTTAAAAAAAAAAAAAAAAAAAGCCTAAGATCTCACCTTGAAGTTCACTGATCTGAAATGGAAAGAGCCCACTGACTTTTGGGCCTTCATTGGGAACAAGCATCTTTTTGTTAATAAAATTTCAGGTGTCTTTGCAGGATCTTATTTGCCTCTGGAAATGGTATCCTATACCGGATTTCTGTACTACGTTATTTTCCTGGCAAGGAATTGGAAGAGGAAGTATAATGCTCATGAGAACTTGCCTCTAAAAGGAAGATTCCTTTTTATCCAGTAACAGCTTGTGCTCTCAGTAGAGACTTCTGCTCTAAACCATAATCAGGAAAGCTGTCAAACATGGACTGTTGAACACGGTCTTTGAAACGTCGGGTCCCACCCATCTACTTGAGCTAAGCTGCTGCTTGGATACTTCTTAGGACCAGAGCTTGAACCTTAGTTGTAGGTAGCAATTTTACATCATTGCAAAAAATGTTAGATTAAATATAAAAGTCTATTTTCTGGAACATAGAACTGATCACTCTGCAATGTGCCATTCCATAATTTATGCCTTGTATTTTATTTTGCAGATTCTGTGGAAAACAGGCATTCTGTAAGTATATATTTTATGCAAGCAGTTAAATATAGGGAAATTGCATTGAGATTATTGTGTATATAATGAGAGTGTTAAAGCGTTGCTACATTTTAATTGTTTATTTGTTGTTCAGGATCTTTTCTGGACAGGTACTGGGCAGTCCTTTCATATATTTTCTTACTCATCAGGCTTCATTACTACGTTTGTAAAATGGTCAGCTTCAAAAGTCCATGGAACTGACTGATTTGGTAGTGCTGGTACAAGAAGTAGATGACAAATACTGATCTTCCAAGAATTTGTGTTGAACACCTGCACAACTTTGGATATGTACCACAAATATTCATTCTGACGAATGGCATAAGGTTTGGGATGGTTGCTGCTTGCTTGAGTTCCTGATGGACCTGTAGCACTTGAAATTTTCATATGAAAACCTGCTAAAATGGTTAATGTATCACTGGGGACAGAGCTGTTCCCATTTCTTCTGTAAAATTGATAGGGTGTTTAGTGCCAGTGAATCTCCTCAGAGATTGAGCTGGATTGGAATATCCAGAGAAGCAAGAAGTGAAATGAAGGGTTAAACTAAGGAGGAATGGCTGATCACCTGAACTCACAGAAGTCACTTGTATTCACTGTCTGTGACTGTTTCCTTCTGGGTTCATTTTCATGCACTGGTATAGCAAGTGGGACTCTGGGGACTGGTGGTGAAAACTGAGACCTCGTAAGAAATTTCAAAGGCAAGCAATTTTTACCTTAGAGTACATAGTGATGTCACAGTTATGCTGCCTGAACCAAGATGTGAGGATAGTACCATCTGTATATGGAGGATCTCAGCTAAACAGTTTCGTGAAGGTTCTGCAGATGAACAGCTTTATAGGGCTAAGAAGCCAGTGAAAAAATACCAATTTTTTTTAAAAAAAGAATAAATGTCTCCAATGAGATCTCTCAAGAGATCTAAGAGGCAGAGAACTTACATTTCAGGAGTACTTTTATGGATGTTAGATAAGCTATCTAATCCAACCTCAAACCATGCAGGCCAGGTGTTTTTTCTGCCATCTACTTTGTGACACTGGAACTTGTACCTGAAAAAGAGAGAGTCGTAAATAAGAATCACAGTAGCACAGTCTACATCAGCTTATGGCATCCAGTTGAGTTTTGAAAGGCTCCATCAGCACTCACTTCCCCATGGGATAAAAAAGCAGCCCATTGTATTATTTACAGACACTGGCAGTGCACTGAAGGTCACCGATTGTGTTACAATAAACAGATATGTATTAACAAGCCAGTAGGGTTTATAGTATCATTGTCTCTCTTAGTTTAAAGGTTTGTTTTTATTCTTTGCTCTCAAATTTCTAAAAATAAATTGGCTGAACCCTCCCCTGGGTTGTACCAGGCATTCCTTGGAGAGTCACACAGAACAGAGTTTGTCCCAGTCTGACACAAAAGGAAAAATGGTCAAGAGTGGCTATGATAGTGTAAGCTCGGGGAGGAGATTTTGCCTTTTTTTTCCCATACCCTACATTATTAATAATGGACATTGGATGTAAGACTAAAGTTTTATGAAGATTTTTTTTTTCTTTTTGTGTGGCCAAAAGTGAGTAAAAAATCTCTCCATGGAACTATAATGAGGCTGCTTCTGTGAAAATACACTGACCTCCCTGTGTAAATCACTTTCATCATAATTAATCACGCTATTAAAGCTTGCTAAACCAGACAACCCATGAAGTAATGTTAGATTCAAGGGAGATGAGTGACAGCTGATGGCAGTGTTTTCTTTGTCTTGTCTGCACAAACCCCTCTTAACAGTGGGAGAGTAATAAAACTAGTTTTACTATGTAAAACGAACTCTGTTTTCAGAAACACCCCAAAGAAACATCAGCTTTATAGCACTTGCACATCTTAGTTGAGTTTTCCCAGAAGTAGCCTTACTCAGTTCACCTCTGTGACATTGTCCCCTCCTTTGATACTGTACTTAACACAGTAACTATTCCTGGATTTGAATTATTAGTGTGTTAAAGGACATAGCAAAAAAGCAGATCCCCATCTTCTGCTTCTTAAATTCCCACTTGTATTCCCAGTAAAGCCTATGACAAAAAGCAGCACCCATCCCTCTCTTGAACTCTCCAGATAAATGTTTTATAGATTTTCCATCCCCCTTATTTGCCTCTCAGCACTTACCAGGCAACATAAATGAGCTACTAAGGTGCTTCGTGTCATTATTTTCTTGCAACTGTTTTTTTCCGTAGCTCATTTTCACACAATGCCTAACTGTGATGCACCTCAGATGTTTGGTCCAAATGAGGAGTTGTTGATCCTACTCATGAAAAGGAAAATGCTCCTTATAAAGTGATCAAGTGGCTTAAACTTCCTCCCAGCTGTTCTGCTTCTTTATAGCCAAAGGAAGTATTTGGCTCAGAGGTGAAGTTGCTTTCGATCTGCTCCTCCCGTAATCCGTGAGGTAAAGGAGGCCTTCAGGGAGCAGGGCTGGTCAGCTGGCATCGTAGTCACATGAAATGCCAGATGGATACCTTAGCTATAGTCACCTGTCTTGCAGGATTTGGCTCTGTTTAGGAAATATAGGTATTCCAGAAGTGTGGGACAAAGGGCTCCACCGCAAAGAGCGCAGCGTTTTGCTAAGAGCTGTGTTTTCAGAGACAGGAGGACATGCAACCTTTTCAGTAAAGATGGTGAAGACTTGGCACCGGATCCTGCTGTCTTTTTCAAATAGCAGTGTGGGTTCCACTCCTCAGCTGAACTCTGTTAACATCTTCAGTTGTACACTGATCTTTCAGAAGTCACAGGCAAAAGAGAGTACTACTGCACTGTGGAAAAGAAAGACAAATCAAATCATTTTAATGAGTGAGAGCCCTGCTCTTGTGCGTTTGCCCCTACATAGTTTCTTTCAGAACACACATAACCCAGCATAGAAATGTAGGAACTTTGCTTCATCTTCACTGAGAGACCATTAAAAAATGAAGCTCAGGGCTTTAGTAAACGCTGTGTACTGGCAATAGGTGTTGTGTTACAGAGACACTGAAAGTGTTTGTATTACGTCAAGAAAGGTGGTGCGTTAGAAAAACAATCACTTAAAGTTTGATTTGAATTGTACAAAGGCCCAATTGCAGTGCAGGCTCTGACTGATCTGCCACCCAGAGTACCTTGAACCTGAATGTCTTGGACTCTCAGGTCAGTTAGAAATGAACCCAAAGTTTTGGGTTGGGGGTTGCTTCCCTCTTTCTCCTCTGTCATAGAAATTTGTATCTTAAATGCTATCCATAGGAAGTATTTGCAAAAGAAATGAATTACTTAGGAACTGGGAGGAGGTTTCCTTCCTGAAATCAGAGCTGGCAATCTTTCCAAGTTATTTAATGGTCCCAGTTTCTGAAAACATATTGAAGGAAGTATCTTAACAATGAGATAGCAACTTCGCCAAATACTAATTGGTGTTGTGTCAAATTTACCTCAGCAGTACATTCTGACTTCATACCTCCTCCTCCCCTATTACCTCTTAGATGTGTGTTTGTTTGTTTGTTTGATTCTGTCCGGGGGTACATGAGGACTGGCAGTCTCAGTCAGGACACAGTGTACTTTTAGCTGCCTATTTGTTCAGTCTCAGAATGTACCTTCTGGAACAGAAACATGTACAATTCAAATCTATCTGGAGAAATTTCGGGGCGTTTTTCAGCTACTTTCTCATCTTACTCAAGTGATCCCAAAAGTATTTTGTAAATTCTCGCTGGTAAAGGAATTGCTTCAAATTGCCAACACAACGTAGCCCACTCCAAAGAGGGAGCTGGCATGTGACTAACTATGCACAGTAACATGGCACAATAGCTTCAGACAGGAAATGAAGATGAAGGATGTGTCCATTTAAAACTGGGGGGGGGGTGAGGATTTCAGGCAGTCAGGATATGAAAAACAAGGTGATACTCTGAAATAAACATTGAATTATAAACCAGGAATTCCTGCCTCTGACTCATGGGGCAAATCCTTTGGGGGTAAGTCCACAAAAGGAATTAGGCGCCTCGGTGCTGACAGACTAAACTATTAGGTTAGAGGCCACCATATACTCTGAGCAGATACTTGCAGGAGGAAGACTTGCTTTGGCAACTGGTGTTAGGAAAGACTTGACAGTTGTGACTCCTCAGTGGACAGACTTGTTTCTGACATACCATGTAAAGACAATGAAGTTTGGGATGTCTCTTTGCCCTTTCCTGTTGGCTAGTGCAGATGACTTCTCTGTCTGCAGGCTGCCTTTTGCAGTACTCTGCCAGGTTTCCATGCCCCTGCTGAGTTCTTGGAATAGTTAGCCTATTCCAAGGAGCAGATTCTTGTAGAAACATGGTGTCTGAAAGTTGAATGCTCACTGTTGGGATAGCCAAGTGCTTCTTAGGAAAAGGTTTTTGTTCTTGTGGGACTGAAGATGGGCCTAATTGTGGCAACTGGGAATGTGCTAGCAAATAAGAGGTCTGACTTTCAGATCTGTTGAGTGCCAGTTCCCATAAGAATCCAGCTTTTATCAGGAAGTGCCCAGTTGCAGATGTTGACGATTAACAGTATTGCAGTCTAGCATGTAATTGTTAACCTAAATCTCTCACTGTCTTATTTCCTTTTTTATCAGATGAAGATAATACTAATATCACCCCAGGGAACTGTATTTATTAGCTCGTTACACAGTGCTCTAAGGAATATGTTACTATATTTAATGTTTTTGTGTTGATCAAAAAGGACAGGAGAGGGCAGGGGGACATTTATATTCATACCTTTTTTTTTTCCTTTTTTGGTCTTGTTGCCAACAGAGAATACAAGGGCATCCTGATGCTACTTAGAACAGTCATCTCAAACATCAGCTGGGAGAAGAAAACAAGCCAAGATGGAAGATGTTGCAAATGTTTCAAAAGCTATGCAGCACATTTATGAGTTTGCCAGGCTCTTCTTTACAAAGTTTACTTCCTCAGGGGGAACAATAGAGATGTTCCTAAAGCATTTAATGGAAAAAATTACAAATAAAAACTCTCATAGGAAAGTGGCTCTAGAAACCAGTGACCTAGGTTCCCATCTTTAATTTTTCCTGCTAATGCAATTTTGCCTTTCTAGTCTCCAATTCACCATGCTCCAAGGAAATAAAAGGGGAAACTACAGCTGTAGAAGTGCATTTCTACAGTTCAGTAACTACTGTGATGCCAGTAGGATGTAGAAGTATCTAAGCTTGCTTGAAACTAGCTAACTTGATTATGAGTAACACTCTACTGTGGCAGAACAGAGCTCAGCACAGCTTGGCCAGCCATGTATGTACTTTGACATGAACTTGCAGCTTGTGCTGAACTCCCTGTGCTGCAGCAGCTGGACTGCTACCCGTCTTGGAGCCAGCTAATTTATAGCTCATTTGGATACTACACTGCATTGAGGGCCTAACGGAAGAGTGAACTCCAGGCTGTCCATGAACTTGAATAGCTGTTCAGAGATTCACTACTTTACCAAGTGTTTCTATTAGTCGAAGCACAAATGTTCTTCATTCTTCACTAATTTGCTTTTCCCCTTTAGAAGTTCTGATGCTTGCTGGTTAGCTTGGTGTGATGGTTCTTTACGGAATGATTGCCCTTCACAGTTACTATGGATGATGCAAAATATGTCTTGCGTGGGTGGATGTACTACACCCTGGTCAGTGAGTTTGTACCTGAAAATCCTATTCTGTGTAATCCTTCTTCCTTCGATTTTAGGAGAGATCTGAAGCCGTACTTGTGTCCAGTTTGTCCAGTATAGAACTCCATACCTATCCTTTTTCTCTATAGTATGATAAAACACTAACATGGATCCAGTTTGGACTTGGATCTAATCTTTGCAGCCCATCTTTATCTCAGTTGCATCAGTTTAAAAAAAAAGAACACAAAACAGAAAAAGTGCTGTCCCCAACCTCTTAAGCAGCTGGTCTTTGACACTGCAGTTGCTCTCCTTTTCTTACTGCAGATTAATTCACTACAAGATCTGGGCCACAGGTAAGAAGGTTCTCATTTTAATCAGAAAATAGTGAAAGAGAGGACATGGATTTGTATATGCCTATATAGTTACTGCTTTAAGCATCGCATCAAAGGCACAAAACCAGCAAGAAATATAAAAGGGTTTTGTATCCTCATTCCAAGCATTTAAATTTTTGAGCTCCAATTACTGGCTAATATCTCTAATTTATTGTTCCCTATGCAAATGTTGTTTGTATCATAAGCCTTTCACAAAAGACTGACTTGATAGCACTCTTCTGTTGACAAATGTTCTTTCTAGCATCCCATGAGTGTCCATACAAATGCATTAGTATAAGGAATGTGAAAAGATATTTTAATAAATAAAAATCTGAACTGAACTTTGCACTGAATCTTGCATGTTCATATTAGTGACCACTTGCAAATGAATGCCTGTAAAATTAGGTTTTATTAGTGATGAGCCATATAGACACATAAATTTACATATGGAAGATGTGATCTCTGCCACATGTGGTTCCAGGTACTCAGATCTGGTGTCACCAACCAGTTTAGCAGCAGTTAAATGCACTAAATTGGTTGAGCAGGGGAGCACTCGCATTCACATGACTCCTTTGCTAAATACAAAGGTAAAAGTTCCTCCACAAACCTTTCCACAGTCCCTGGCACAGCTCAGGAAACCTGGTTTCTGGGAAGTTTCGGGATGTCATCTGGGCATGATGGAGCAGCAGTGGGACAATTCATTGCTCTATTTCAGCTTGTCTGGAATAACCTAATTCTCAGCTATTTTGGATTTAGTCTGTAATAAAAGTTGTTTGCCCTACAGAAACATATCTGATTTATCCACTTCTTAGAGTGCTATGCACTGCTTTGAACTATTCTGTTTTGTCTTACAGATATAGCAAAAATATTTAAAAATGTGGGACATTAGATCAGCAGACAGCTCCAGTGAAGACAAGGTAAAGAGGCCCATGAAGTAAACAGCTACTCAAGGAGTCCTAATGTCCTGTTATGAGCATGTCTTCGGGATGCCAAACAAGCACCATTGTCCCATTGGAAACATTTGGGAAATAAGTCTTGAATTTGTTACTGAAACAGATTAAAGGCCAGATTAGAGCTCAAACAGTATGGTACTGGATACCAACCAAAAACCATTCCAGGTTTCTATGCGGTCACCCAGTTGAGCTCAGCAAATATAAAATGAGGTGCTTTGCTAAATACTTACTTTTTGAAAAGACGGAAGGGATGGAACATCCTTGGGCAGTGTGCCGTGCCTTGTCCGAGCAGTTCTGCTGACAGTGCCGCATCCTGCTCGTGCTGAGCATGTTCAGGAAGAGGCTTACCCATGCCGCCGTTAACTTTATGATACTTTTTGCTATTGCAGAGCAGAGGATTTAGGGACAAGATACAGAAATGCTTTAGAGCAACAGACTCTTCTGCCTTGCCACTGCTAACTTGTTTAATTTCCGGCGTTAGCGCTTCTTCTTGTCCAATGTAAGTATATTTGTGTGCCTCTTCGTGGAAATATCAGTGATGAGCTGCTGTCTGGTTCGCCCCTGGCAGGGCCAGGGCAGTCTGTCCGGTGCTCAGTGTCACCATGCCCGGCGCTGCGCTGGGTCCCCGCGGCTCGACCGCTGCCTGCTGCT